CTTGGTGGGCTCAGGCCTGGAGGCTGAGTCTGTGGTAGGTTTAAATGGCCAAAAGAGTCCTGCTGGGCCTTGGACCCCAATGTCTGGAGTGGGAGATCGGTAAGCAAGCCAAGAACTCAGTGCAGCAGGAACATCTGAGTGTCATGAAGGCACCTAACAGGTGCTCAGTAAATATTTGTTATATGAATGAATATGTGTTTTGATAGAAGAAGCCCACAGTGCAGTGTGAGCCCAAAAAGGGCTTAGGGAAGGCTTCCTGGAGGAAGTGACAGCTACATTGAGACATGTAAAACAGGAAGGAGTAGCCAGGCCAAGCTGAGGTTTAACTGTCGTTAAAAGGAGGAAATGGCCATAGCGGCGATATATTAATAACTAGGGGGGCTGAAGGCCTTTCTGGATGCCCATAGCTTTGGAGTCGGAAGATCCTGGGTTGGAACTCCTAGTTCTGTACTTCACTGGGACCCTGGGATGAGCACCTGCACAAGCTCCTCACCTCCCTGCGGCTGTTTCTTCTGAGAAAGGAAGCCAAAGATAGTGTCTACCTCAAAGGACCAAATGAGACAGACACCTGATATAAAGAGGTGTCGCTTTGCTTGCTTGCGAGCCTGTGCCTGTCCCTTTCTTTCTCTCCGGGCCCTTTAGGGACAGAGATCCCGAGTCACTTTGGTAGATGCAATGGTCAGCAGCGCCAGGCACACAGCAGGTGCAAAGTAAATTTAACAATGCCCCGAAGAATTCTGGCCTCCTACTATGGGATTGTGGCTCCTTGTCTTGCAATGTGCTCCCCTCACGCCCCGCCCCACCGTGCGCTCTTTGGGGCGCGGGTGGGCGGGATGATTGGCTTGTGTTCTCTGGAACACAGTAGGCGCTTGTGCTTTGGCCTTGGCTCTCGGGTGCTTGGAGGCAGGTTGCTGGGGTCGGATCCTGCAGGATACTAACTTTACCCTCCGGGTTTAAGGCTGTGAGTCCGGGGTGCGGAGAAGCTGGGGATAAACGCCCGGGAGATCCCAAAACAGAACGCGGCGACCAGGGACAGCGGGGGGGCCGGGTGCGGGCGGGGCGGCTTTTCTGTCGGAGGACGCCAGCCGGTGCGCTGCGCCTTTAAGGGAGTGAGCGGAGCTCCGGGGCCGAGCGCGCGCCGCGGCCGGGCCGGGCCGGGGGCTGGGCTTCGAGGCGGGGTCGGGCTCCGGCGACTGGACCCAGGCGGCTGAGGCCGGTCAGGTGAGCGGGAGCGGGGCCGGGGCACCCCCTGGCTCCGTGACCTACCCCACTAGCTGCGCCGGGCAGCCTGCTCCCCACGCGGCGCGCCGGGGGACGACGGGTCGGGACACGGACTCTCGCCCCGCGCCGCGCCCCGCGCCGCGCCCCGCGTCGGCACCTGCGCTCCTTTCCCGCGCCCGGCTCGGTCTGAGGCTCCCGAACGCCGGCACCCGCTTCGCAGGTCCGGGCTGCCGGTCTCCTTAGGCCGGGGACGCGGCGGGGCGGGCGGGACCTGCGCCCTCCTGCGCCCGCCGCCGCCCTCCAGCGCCCGTGGCGGGCTCCTGCGCCCCCTGCTCCCGCCTCCTGAGAGGGGCTGAGCTCGCCCTCCCGAACGCGCCGCGCTCCCGGGCACCTCCCCCGCTCGCCCCGCGACTGCATCCCCGGGATCTCCCTCGCTGATACCGCCCCGCAACCTTGCGCTCCCCTCCCCAGTCCGCCCCAGCCCGCGCCTTGCGCCCCTCCCCTCCTCCCCAAAGCCTGGAGTCGGGGTGCAGTCCAGCCACCCCGACAGCCGGGGGCTGCCGGCAACCCTGCGGTCCCCCAAGCCACCTCCGCGGAATCGGGCTTCTGGGCTCCCTTAGAAATGCGGATTGTGTAAGGCGGGCAGCAGGGCGGAGCGCGTGCAAGATCTGCACCCTTGAACCTACAGGGCCACCGAGTTGACAGACGCTTGTGGCGAGGAGGGTGCCAGGGGGTCTGGAGGCTGTGCACGCAGGGAATAGTACTTTGAGCCGCTTCTGTGCCCTAGAAGCTGGGTGGTTACGAAGAGGAATTAGAGGAGGGCCCTACCCAAGCTGGGACTTGGAGGCCAGCATTTGTCTTACCCTCTCGCCTGCTCAGAAATCCCTGATGGCTGGCTCCACCTGGCTGGGAGCTTTAAATAGTTTATAATTAATAATAGCTGACATAGAATGAGCTAGTGCTGGGTGCCAGGCCTTGTTCAAAGCCCCTTAAAATAATTACCTGCCTACTTCCTGCCCCCAACAGCCCCATGAGGTAGGTACCACTCCTGTCCCCATTTCTCAGAGGAGAAATGTGAGGCGTCCAGAGGTGGTCCCTTCCCAGGACACTCATTGATTCTGACCTCAGAGTCCCCACTCTGAACCAATAGACTTTTTACCCAATTTTAACTGATACATTCTCAAAATATCATAGTATAGAAAGAGCAGAAATAAGAGAAACAAATAACCTGCATTCCTAGCACCAGTTTATTTTTTTTCTAAAATTAGGTTCACAGACCAGCAAGGGGCCTTCAGTGCCCTCCTCAAGGAGACTGAGGCCCAGAGAGGAGAAGGGACTTGCTCAAGGCCATACATCTGGAAAGGCCTAGGGTGCGAAACAAGTCCTGAGGTGGTTAGTCAGGTACTTCCTGGGCTCCCTCTGCTATCCTGGCTTAGGTCTCTGGAGACCCTGCCCCTCCCTGCTCTGCATCCTGACCACCGCCTGGCTCCCTGCTTCTAGCCCAGGCCAGTGAACACACTTCTTCCCCACGCTGCCTTTGCTTATGCTGTTTTCTCCTCCAGGAATGCCCTCCCTGGAATCTCTGGTGTCTAAATCTTACCTACCCTGTAGGTCCAGTAGGTCCAGCTCAGCTGCTCCCTCCAGGAACACTCCCCTGATTTCTCCCCTGCACCCACGTGAAAGCTTTTCCTTTTTCCCCTGGGATCCTAAGCTGGATCCACTACGTCCCACCTCCATGATGGCATTTGGAAAGTTCTACTGCTTTGTTCTCTTGGATGCAGCTGTGCTGGCAGGCAAGGTCCCTCTTTCCATTCTCTGTCCTGCTCAAGCCTAAGACAGAGACGGAGGTCCGTGGGGATATGGGGTGGCTTCTGCAGTAAGAATAGGCTCAGCTCAGGATCTCCTAACCCTGCAACACCACCTCCTTCACTGAGCTGCAGTCTGATCCCAGGGAGAATGGCTCAGCCTTGTACCTAACATTGTAACCACATATTTGTTTTTGTTCATAACTCAAAGGATTTCCACCAGAAAATCAGACAGACTTGGCTCTAGATCTCACCCCTACTACTTTCTATCTGTGTGGCCATGGGCAAGTTACCTAACCTCTCTGAGCCTCAGCTTCTGTTGATAGTACCTGTTTCAGAGATCAGTAGTAAATAATACTTAGGTAAATAGTGCTCGGGACCTAGCATATGTGGTAAGCACTCAAAAAGCACCAGCTATTAATTGACCACTACTTTGAATTACTGGAGAAATACTGAATCATTAATAAATGCCTCACATGGACTCTACTTAGAGGTGGGCAAGGTGATTCGGGCTAAGCAACTATTTTTTTTTTAGCTTTTTTTTTTTTTTTTTTTTTTGGGCTAGAGTGAGTGCCGTGGCATCAGCCTAGCTCACAGCAACCTCAAACTCCTGGGCTCAAGCAATCCTCCTGCCTCAGCCTCCCAAGTAGCTGAGACTACAGGCATGTGCCACCATGCCTGGCTAATTTTTTCTATATATGTATTAGTTGGCCAATTAATTTCTATTTATAGTAGAGACGGGGTCTCGCTCTTGCTTAGGCTGGTTTCGAACTCCTGACCTCGAGCAATCCGCCCGCCTCGGCCTCCCAGAGTGCTAGGATTATAGGCGTGAGCCACAGCGCCCGGCCTTTTTTTTAGCTTTTAAAATGTGTGAACTTTGAGCTGTGTGAGGATCTGCACACCTAGAGTAAATGTGGGAATGCAGTTTGTGCAATTGGAAGTGATCATGAAACTTGACTCTAGTTTCATGAGATGAAACTTAGAGATGACCTTGGTTTGCGGTGTGTTAGTTTAGGCCTACCCTGGGGGCAAGTGGTTAAATCAAAAGATCATATCTGGGTTTGGAGGAAGACAAGCAAGGGCGAGTGTTTTGTCCTAGTAGGCTAGTAAGTAGCTGGGTGGAAATCAGCACTATGTCATATTATTTTTTTAGTTTTTAGAAATAGGATCTTATCTGGTTGGGTGCAGTGGCTTATGCCAGTAATCCTAGCACTCTGAAAGGCTAAGGTGGGCAGATCGTTTGAGCTCAGGAGTCCGAGACCAGCCTGAGCAAGAGCGAGACCCCGTCTCTACTAAAAATAGAAAGAAATTAGCTGGACAACTAAAAATATATAGAAAAAATTAGCTGGGCAAGGTGGTGCATGCCTGTAGTCCCAGCTACTCGGGAGGCTGAGGCAGGAGGATTGCTTGGGTCCAGGAGTTTGAGGTTGCTGTGAGCCAGGCTGACGCCATGGCACTCTAGCCCAGGCAACAGAGGGAGACTCCCCCCTACCCCAGCAAAAAAAAAAAAGAAAAGAAAAAGAAATAGGATCTTATTATGTTGGCCAGGCTGGCCTGGAACTCTTGGACTCAAGCAATCCTCCTGCCTCGGCCTTCTGAGAGTAGCTGGGAGTACAGGCGTACCACCGCACCCAGCACACTCTATCTTATTCTTTATCAAACTCCTGGTGATTTTGGTGACCAGCTCAATTATTACCATGATGAGTATTCAAAAAAAGGGATGTCCCCTTCAAAGCTAAGTGTTTGAAATAGGCCAGGAAGCTAGTTCTGCAAGTTGAAAAAATTTATTTTAAAATTTTTCCTAATTGAGTCTTAATTTGAATAAGTTAAGATTTACTTGATAATTTAAGGACTGTTTTGGTTTAGATATCTTAAGATAAATGTTTTTGTAAATTTCACATTTCTGTGGACTTTAGCAGACTTTTCTTTATTTTTATAACCCTGTAGGGACAGAAACACTTCTTGTGCTTCCCAGTACAGTGGCCACATGCACTCAGTACATTTCCAGTACTGAGCCACATGTGGCTATTTAAATTCAAATTAATTAAAATAATATAAAATTCAAAATTCGGCTTTTCACATTTTAAGGGCTCAGTAGGTACATTGGCCAGTGGCTACTGTATCGGACAGAGCAGATAGAGAACATTTCCCCTTTGCAGAAAGTTCTTTGGAACGGCACTGTTTAGATGAATAAGGCCATGGGAAAGCGCTTGGTGACGGGGTTGAGTGCCATTCTTTCTGGCAAGTCATCTGCAGGCCCAGAAATGGAGTGTGCCGAGGATGTTTCATTGTTACGAAGGAGAAGTTAATAAATCCCCTCAGCCTCATTTTGGCTGCCTGACTCACTGGCTGTTCACACTGCCAGAGTCGGAGGATGAGGGAGAGAGTAGGATCGAATGCAGTATTCAGGGCAGTGCTTCTCTGCCCTGGCTATGGGTTGCAACCACCTAGGGAACTCAAAACAAAACAGAAAACCCATGCCTAAGCTCTACCCCAGAACAACTGAATCTGAATCTCTAGGGGTGGGGCCCAGGAGGTTTTTCTTGTTTTAAGATCCCCAGGGAATTCTGGTGTACAGCCAGAGTTGAGAACAGCTGCCTTCCAGATTGTGACCTTCAACAAACAAACAAGGATACCTGAAGATTGGAAGACAGTTTTTCGAGATAGTTTTTGTGAGTAGCTAAAACCGCTCCTCCCTGATTTACCGCAGTAATAAGACAAGGGTTTTAGTTGAGTGGGCTTATTTATTCTAGAAGAATTCTCAGCCAGGGACAACTTTGTCCCCGAGGGGACATTTGTTCAGCATCTGGAGATATTTTTGGTTGTCACAACTTGCGGGCAGCATCCAGTGGTGGAGGCCAGGCACGCTGCTAAACACCGTGTGATGCGCAGGACAGCCCCACGACAGAGAGTTGCATGCCCAGCATCACCTGCACCACAGTTGACGGACTCTGACCTGGGCATGACTTTCACAGCATTAAAGTCCTTTCTGACCTTGGGTGTAGTTGCCTCCTCAAAGAAGATCAAGGTGTCTCCTAAATCAGACCCTCAGAAACCCTCTGGATCATATTCCAGGCTTTTCAATCCTAGAGGTCTTCCAGTCCTGCCTGTGGTTGGATGCACGTGGGGGTCTGTCACAGGCCTCCGGGGTGCGCTCCAGTGCTGCACCAAGGGAACTGCTGATTCAGGGGAGCAGGACAATACTTGGGAAGGTGTGAGCAGAGGTTCTTCTGTGGCTGCAGTTTGGGGGCTTCTTCATGCGAAGTAATTACCTAAAGTAACAGCAGCCTTTGATTTTAGGCATTTTTCCATAAGCTCTGGCTGTTTGGCTGTTTGCACTGAGCATTTGCCTTATGACATACCCAGAAAAGGATTCAAAGCTTACATGTGATGAAGTCTTGCTATGGGCTAGACTCTTAGGGTATAAAGATGGCAGTATAGATCCTGCCCACAGACTACTCAAGCATCTGAATAGACCTGAGCAGTGTTAGTACAGGTGACAGGGGCAGGACTGCCTAACTCTGCCTGGGAGTGAGGCAAGATCCTAGCTGTGCAGAGGAAGCACTTAGTATCTGCTCATCACTGCATGGAACAGTTTCCTTACATCACCTCACTTCATCCCCACAGTGATGTTCTATAAGGTTAAGTGACTTGCCACAGGTACATGTCTGATCAGTGGCCAGGCAGAAATTTGAACCCAAGTATTGAACTGCGAAACTGAACATTTTCGCAGGAGCATTTGCAGATGAGGTAATGCCTTAACAGCCAAGCCTTGTAGGATGAGCTGGAGCTCACTAGGCACAAGGGAGGCTGTTCTGCCCAGGAGAGGGAGCGTGTGGGCCCAAGGCCTGGAGGTGTGGAAGAGCGTGACATATCTGTGGATTGCTGACCAATCTGAGAAAGAGTAGAGGGGGATGATGGGGGAGTGACAACAAAAGTCACTTGAGACATGGGCAGGCACCAAATCCCGTGTGGTCTTCCATCTCATGCTGAGGGCACTGATGGCTTGGGGAAGAGAAAGCTGTGTGACATTGGGCAGCTTGCTTAACCTCTCTGGATCCAGCTGCCTAGATGAACTAGAACCTCTAACACTATACTGCTCTGATGAGGAATGGCCATTTAGTGGGTGGCCATAAAGAGAAGAGTGAAGGAATGTGCCGTGCTGACACTGGTGGGTAGCCTTGTTGGTTCATTACTTCACCTAAGGCTGCATGGTGGCTGCAGGGACTGTTTCTTCTCAGTCTGAGCGGTCACTTCTATTTTGACTTTCCAGCTTGTCATTCGGTATTTACCAAGTGCCTGCCAAGGGCAAGGCGAGGTGGTGCCAGTGCTGCGACAGACGCAAAGGTGTGGTCCGACTTGTCTGAGGAGCTTGCAGGCTAGTACAGCAGTCTTCTCCTCCTAAGGCACAAATCCCAAATGCCCTGAGAGGGAAGTATTCAGACCAAATACTCCGGGGCACGAAGGATGGAGCAGAGGTTACTGGGGGGAAGGGGGGTTGAGGAAAAGTCAACTGAAGGAGATACTTCTAGCTCTGCCAGAAAGATTTTTAAAGGAGAAGATGGGATAGGTAGAAGGTGTCCTGCAGGTAGTGAAAGTGGGGAAAATGGACAGAAACAGAAAGCAGTGCAGGTATAGTCATGAGAGGGTCAGGTTATTAGCCTATCTAGTATCTGATTCCTCACAGTTTCTAGGTTGTGGATGGGAAGCAGAAGCTATCATAACAGGAAAATACTTGTTAATAGACTTGCCATGTACAAAATTAGATTCCACTCTATCATCCCTCTCTCTGTTTCCAATCTCAGTGGCCAGCCAGGCTCCAGGGACATCCATATTTTGTTCCATGGTCTCCCAAGTTGTCAGATGTTTTGCAAATACAAGATAAACAGTGAAAATAAAATTATAGCTCTTGCAAGAGAGGCAGGATTTCATGAAATCAAAGTGACCTGCTTGAATGACATGTCAAGGCAATAATAGGGCCTGGCAATGTGCGGCCTGTCAGCAGTGAAGAGAAGGGATGAACACTCCCTTGGGGGAGAGACTTGAAAATCTAAGACTTGAAAGGACCTTGAAGCCATACCATATCTTGCAAAAATGGCCTCTATGATGGCGCTGTGATGACCAAATGTTAATGAGAAGGACTCGCCGTGCTGTAAAACAGTCTACACGAGATGTATTCTTTGTTGTAAGAATTAGTACAGGGCTGTAGTTATAACCTAAATTCTGTTTAGTATTTACTATCGTTTTTAAAATAGACAGATTTGATTTTTGTTTTATTTGTTTGGATAAAGTTCCAAACAAAACTGTGTTTTACTCTTAAAATTTCGAATGGGGCTTCACCACAGGTTCCTATCCCTGGTGCTCATTTTCCTGGGTTACTGAGATTTCTGGGGAGTAGATTCTGGCTGGAAAGAATGTGGGCATCAGCTCACTAAGGGCCCTAAATACTGCAGTTTGTGCTAGGAGCCCCAAATCTTGTTCTGTTAAAACCTGCCGCTGTTTATTAACAAGGCTCCTTTTTTGTTTAACTTCAGCTTTGTTCCTGCAGTCACAAAGCACTGTAGACCAGCTTTACCTCCTTTAGCAATGACAGATTCCTCTTTGATCTCCTTGCTTTTCCTTTATTGAGGAGTGCAGGATCGGGCAACAGGAGAACGTATTTGGGTGCTGAGGTCCAGTTTTGCCCTGTTGCCATAGCACACCTTTCCTGCCTTTCAGTCATATGGAAAATAGCCACTTAAGTGATGCCCTTTCTACCACTTTGCCATGGAGGGGTGACCTGGGCTGATGACAGTGCATGTGCTTACACTAATTCAGAGAGAAGTGTTTAATGAAAGCTCGTTATGGGCTCTGCTTCAGCCTGAAGACTTTGGGCTCCTTGGAGGTAAAGGATCAGCTAGCTTTGGGCTCCTATTTAACCCAGCAAGAGACTGGCTTGTATTTCTGTAGAGCTGTTTTGTTTTAAACATGATTTCAAGCAGGCAGTTATTTCAGACTGTCGCCACACCCCACATCTTGACCCAAGAGGCTGAGGTTTTCAAGGTGCTGGGCCCAGTCAGGGCATGTGTGACACATTTCATTGCCTTGCCTCTTGGCCAATGTGATTTTTCAGAAGCTGTGCTATAGGGTACACAAGCCTCCTATACCTTCCAACTGAGCCTCCGACTGACCTGCCTGCCTGTGCCTCCTCAGGCTGTCACTTCTCCTGGGCACTGAGTGGCATGCAGGGCTTTCTGCTTGTCTGTAACCCCCCCCAGCACCAGCCTGGCCGGCTGGCCTCCCCACCCACAGTGCTGCAGGCACAGGCAGGGCAGGGCTGGGGGCTGGGCTGGTCCTTGAACAAGAACCTGCCTGGGGGAACCAGTTGCTAATGCTTTGGTACAGAGCAGGAGAGAGTGAACCCTTTAACCGGGACCTCTCCCAGCACCACAAAGGAGATAAGAATTCATGGTTTATGGACTGTAGGTTGTGTGGTTCCAGCATGGAATAATAAGAATGTTTATCATCTTAAAAAATTAAGTTCTTGGCCGGGCGTGGTGGCTCACGCCTGTAATCCTAGCACTTTGGGAGGCCGAGGCGGGCGGATTGCTCAAGGTCAGGAGTTCGAAACCAGCCTGAGCGAGACCCCATCTCTACCAAAAATACAAATAAATTAATTGACCAACTAAAAATATATATACAAAAAATTAGCCAGGCATGGTGGCGCATGCCTGTAGTCCCAGCTACTCGGGAGGCTGAGGCAGTAGGATCGCTGAGCCCTGGAGTTTGAGGTTGCTGTGAGCCAGGCTGACGCCACGGCACTCACTCTAGCCTGGGCAACAAAGTGAGACTCTGTCTCAAAAAAAAAAAAAAAAAAAATTAAGTTCTTATCATCCTCTATCGGAGAGTGCTGGATTTCAAGCCGTAAGGACTAAAGTTCTTACCAAGCAGGCTTAGCCTTTGGACAGTCACATGGGCGGTCGTCCGCCAGTCACTGAGAGCAGGCCACTAGGTGACCTGGCTGGTGTGTATAGAGGGAGGTTTCCATCCTGACAGCATTCGCATTCACCTTTCTTCCCTTCTCAGAAGAAACAGTGAAGGTTTGGTCGCCGTCTCTAATGGGCCTTTTGCACTAGTACAAGTCCAGGACTGGCTGATAGAGCTTGTTGTGATGATGAAAATGTTCTGTGTTTTGCTGTCCAATATCACAGCCACAGGCTACGCGGCTGTTGCAAGGAGCACTTGCAATGTGGCTAGTGTGGTTGAGGAACTGAATTTTAAATTCTATTTAATTTTAATTAATTTAAATTTAATCAGCTACATGTGACTAGTGGCTACTATATTGGGCAGTACAGAATAAATAATTTTATTTACGTTTATATTGTAGTTTTTAAATTAATTAGAAAAAACTTTACATATGCACGTGGCATCAATTCAGAAGGTACCAAAGGTACCAGTGAAAAGTCTGCCTTTCACCTCTGTCCCCGAGCCCCAGTTCGTCCCCTTCCCAGTGCAGCCGTGGCACCGATTTCTTGTGTGACCATCCAGAAAGATTCCATGCACATATAAGCATAACATGTATATTCTCTCTCTCTCTCTCTCTCTCTCTCTCTCTCTCCTTTTTAATGCTAGAGGTGTTTATTTTATCCACCGTCTTCTGTTCCATGGTTAATGTACCTTGGAGGTCATTACCTATAGGGATAAATAGTACTGTCTCATTATTTTAATGGCTTATATTTAACTTTTGTTTGTATTTAATGGCTATATATAATATTCCTTTATAAAGCTATACTATCATTTACTTAACAGGTACTCTATAAGTGAGCACTTGAATCATTTCCGGTCTTTTGTCATTATAAGTTATATTGTAATAACCTGGTATAAATATATTTTCACACATCTTCAGATATAAACAGATAAATTCCTAAAAAAGGAAAAGAAGATTGTTAGGTCAAGAGTGTGTGCGTTTTACATTGCCACAGATTCTGCCAAGCTGCCCTCTGTAGGGTTTGATGACAGGAATGTGAATCAGCTCATTATACGAGAGCGTCTGTCTCTCCATAGTCTCAGCAACACAGTCTGTCACTAAACTTTTTGTTCTTTTCTAGTATAATAAATAAAAATTGCCATCACCTTGTAGATTTAATTTGTATGTCTCTTATTGCAAATGAGGTTGAGCTTCATTTTATTTTTATTTATTTATTTTTTTGAGACAGAGTCTCACTTTGTTGCCCAGGCTAGAGTGAGTGCCGTGGCGTCGAGCTTCATTTTATATGTTGAGTCATTTCTGTTTCCTTTCTGGCAAATTATCTGTTTAGATCATTTGCTTATTTTTCTATTAGACTTTGTTGTTGTTTTTCCTGACTTGTAGGAACCCTTTATACATTAAGGAAATTAGTATAGGTCTGTTGCCTCTGATATGTGTTAACACATTTTAATCTTGTTTATGATATCTCTTTCCATGTGGACATTTAAAAATATTTTTATGCAATTAATACTCTTTTTGTTATAGCCTCTGGATTCTATATCTCACTTAGAAAGCCGTTTCCTATGGAGACATTTTAAAACAAAGTCTTCATGTTTTCTTCTAGAACTTTCATGGTTTTCTTTTTTATGTTTAGCTCTTTGATGCATCTGACACAATTCAGGGGCTTTGCTGGCTCTGTTTCCTTTGCCTGGCCTCTCATTCTGCTGCCAAGCCTTTGCCCAGCCAGGTTTTTTTTTTTTTTTATTTTTTTTGAGACACAGTCTTGCTTTGTTGCCCAGGCTAGAGTGAGTGTCGTGGCATCAGCCTCGCTCACAGCAACCTCAAACTCCTGGGCTCAAGCAATCCTCCTGCCTCAGCCTCCCGAGTAGCTGGGACTGCAGGCATGCGCCACCATGCCCGGCTGATTTTTTCAATATATATTAGTTGGCCAATTAATTTCTTTCTATTTATAGTAGAGACTGGGATCTCACTCAGGCTGGTTTTAAACTCCTAACCTCGAGCAATCTGCCCGCCTCGGCCTCCCAGAGTGCTAAGATGACAGGCGTGAGCCACCTCACCCGGCCTGCCCAGACGGTTTTTGAGTGATGCAACCCCGTTTGCTGTCTTCTGCCATGTTTCCCCGAAAATAAGTGTTAGGGACTGACCTTCCACAGCTCCACCAGACAGAAAAGCAGAGACATCGAGGATGCAATCACACAAGAGGAGGTTTATTTTCTGGCTAGCCAGGGTCCACGCCCCAGAGCACCAACGCAGTGGCCACTCTCGCAGGCAAGGACCCCCACCTGAATTGCGGCGCACCTTTTATCTCAAAGGGCCCTAGCAACGCACAAACTGATCACGCGCTGGTCATGAGCTGAGCTTTGAAGTGATTAATTTTTTTTTAGTATCCTGTACGACCCCTGCGCATCCCCCCTCCCTTCCATCATTCTTCACAACCCAAGAGATAACCGAAGGTAGAACTGTAAACAGATGTGTGCTGCTAATTGCCTCGCCCTACTTCACACAAAGGGGAGGAAAAATTCCTTTCTTGTTGCGCCACTGAGACGCTGCTGAGGCACCATCGAGGCACCCCCACATAAGACAGGGTCTTATATTTATTTTTCCTCAAGAAGGCACCCTAGGGCTTATTTTCAGGGGTGTGTTATTTTTTTTAAGTGCGGTACAACAATCTACATTTATTCAAATATAATGAAGTCGTCTTCTTCTGGAACATCATCATAACTCTCCAAACACTGAATTCAAGACATTCAATTCCTGAATGTCTTGCGACTCTACTTCCTTTAGAACCATTGGCCCCAATCTCTCCTGTGGAGCACTAGAGCTCTCATGGGGCAGATGAGAAGGGCTGGCTCGTGTTCTTTCCCGCTCCGAGACGACATGCACGGGTTGTGCAGATGCGCTGCGTAGCCACGCCCGTCACTAGGTCTTATTTTCGGTGTAGGGCTTATATTGTGCAAATGCTTAGAAATCCTGCTGGGGCTTATTTTATGGGTAGGTCTTATTTTCAGGGAAACACAGTAGTAGCGATTTTATCCTCACTTGCCCACTGGTGGCTGCCTTTCCTCCTTCCTTTCTGAACACAATGTCTAGACAAGGGCAGGGAAGGAGAGCTTTCACTATCACTCACCAGGTTTCTCCGATCTCCTTCAACTCTTCCTAAGCCTGGCTTATTATCTGAGACGCCCTGCCCTTTGTGCACATTGCCTAATTGGGGGAGGTGACTGAACAAAAGGCATGCTATAAAGCCACAGGAGATTTGTACTTTGCCTGTATTAATTTAATGCTTTGTCATTTTATTTCTTGTGATTCCAGAATCTAATTTTCAGCTTCTGCCTGAGCCAGTAGCAGTTGGGAAAGAAGGCTGTGCTCTTTAAAGAGTGAGTATGGATTTTTAACACCACAGATTACCCAGAAGAAGGCAGCCCTTGATGAGACTGGAACTGCTGCTATCAGCTCTCCTCCTCCTCTCTGCAGGCCAACCTGTGGGGGTGATTTGTCTGGTTCAATAGGTCAGATGGGAAGGGACTGGGTACCTGAGGGCTTTCAAAGGTCTGATACACACACAAAAAGCCCCCTAAAAATAGTTCTCAAAGACTATGCCAGGAGCAGGCCTCTAAATTTGAAAGGAATCTAGAAGGCATGGGACTATAGGACCAGCCATGCTTTCCTGGGGAATGACACTTGAACCAGCCCTGAAGGCAGAGAGGAGCTCATCAGGCAGCCAGGCGAGGGAGTGCTCCACAGTAGAGGACAGTGCAGGGAGGCAGCAGGAGGCTTGTGGGTTTGCATGGGGGCAGGGAACTGGTTACCTGGGATGCAGGCAAAGACATGGGAGTAAGTCATGGCTAGGAAGCTGAGCCCGGACCATATGGAGTGGTCAGAGTTCGCATTTTATTTGGTGGACATTAAACTGGTGCAGCCTAATCCCTGATGTGAATTCGGACGATTCCTCCGACAGCTGGTGGTGGAAGGAATCCAGGGTGTGAAAGAGCAACCTGTACAGAAATGGGAGGAAAGGGACATGGAGACCTGGACCCAGTGTGGTGGCCAAGGGCTGTGGTCTGAAGTGCCACAGCTGGTGGGAATTTTTCTTCCCACACTATATTCCTGGTAAATGTCGAACCAAACTGACCTAAGGGATCTGTTGCAAGAAGCTTTCAGGGCTGTAAACCCCCAAGCTGTGCTGGGTGATGCGGCGGCTCCTGTCTGCATGTGGCTGTCAAACACTTGAGATGTGGCTGGTGTGAGTGAAGAACTGAATTTTGAATTTTCTTTAGCTTTAATTAATTTAAATTTAAATTGCCATTACCAAGCAGCACAGTTTGGCTAGACTTGGACAAGTTGACTCCAGTGCTGGTACCTCCCCACCTTGCGTAACAGGATGGTGAGCAAGAAATAAAGTGAAAGAAAGATGCATTGATCCTGTTTCTATAGTAGACTCTGTATCAAAAAAAGAAAAAAAAAGTTAAAAAATTAAGAAGGAATAAATAAAAAGTAAAAAAAAAAGAAAAGTATAAAAAAAAAAAGAAAGAAAGAAAGAAAGATGCATTGGCGTCTAAGAGGCCGACTGATGTGATTATTGTCAGCAGAAGTCAGTGAGTCGGGAGAACTGAGGAGGTGTCTGCGACACTGCAGGGCCTTTGGGATCATGGGTGGTCAAGCAGGCTTTTGGGAAAGGCTGGAAGGAGGTCCTGTTGGTATGTTGATCTTCAAATTCCCTTACAGGATCGAGTGGTAGAGGACAGGAGTAGAGGTAGATAAGGAGAGAGTGGGGAGAGCATTATAGGAATATCCAGGAGAGAGAGTGGGGAGAGCACCGTGGGATGCAAACCAGGTGTGCTCATAGCCTGGCCTTCGAGGAAAGTGCAGAGGAAGAATGGGCTCAGTCAGAGTGCAGGGCACACAGTACGGCCAGGAAGGCAGAGCTGAGCACCCCAAGGACAGTAATCCTGGGGGCTGGGCCACACTTGTATTGATGACTGGGCAAGCTTAACCACTTACTTGGACATTTCAGCACGATTTTCCTCTGTGATGGAGAAGATGTATGTGACAAGGAGTTAGAATGGCCTGTTTCTGAAATTATTGTGTCTCATCAATTCTGGCGCTTCCATATGAGAGAATATTTTCTTCGTTGTGTCATTTCTAGCTATTAATCATTAGTGATGGTTTCAAGGAATTAGTTTGCTTTATAGAACCTAGTTTCAGAGATCAGGGTAGGTTAGATGCAACACTCTTTAACAGCTGGGGTCTTATATTCAGATTTGAAGAACATAGTGTTTTCTGAGCAGAAATGTGGGAAGAATTTTCTTATTGCAGAATTAAAGAAAAAAATTATAAGCAGTACTGGATAGTTTTAAAAATATACCAGCAGTAATAAGGTTAATAAGCCAACCGGTAACTTGTAAAGTTGTTATCATGTTACTTACTATTAAAGCAGTTCCAAAGAAGTATAAAGAATGTCAGTGGGAACATTGAACTCTGTGCCTTGTACATAACTGATGCACAGTGACTATCTGCCACAGAAAGCAATGAGAGAAGGCAAAGGTAGCATGAACTAGGGATGCCTATCTATAGGAGTGGGTTGAAATTTAGATCCTGCCACTTACTAATCTGGTGACCATGTCAACTTATTTAAGCTTATGTTAACTTATTTTCCATCTTTAAAATGGGAGAAGTGCTTCCTATTTCACAATACTGTGAGAAAGAAAGTGACAGGATGTATATGAACCCCGCCTGCACGGGGCCTGGCACAGAGAAGTTACTTAGTTGATGGAGGCCCTTGCTCTTTTATCTGTGGCCATGGTGGGGGTGGTCATGGTTAATATTGCTGTTGCTGTCATTATGACAATCATTATTATTTTGTAGGGACTAGGACTTGTTTGTAAAAAAAATTTTTTTTTTTTTAGTGAGACAGAGTCTTGCCTTGTTGCCCAGGCTAGAGTGAGTGGCGTGGCATCAGCCTAGCTCACAGCAACCTCAAACTCCTGGGCTCAAGCAATCCTCCTGCCTCAGCCTCCCAAGTAGCTGGGACTTCAGGCATGTGCCTCCATGCTTGGCTAATTTTTTCTATATATATTAGTTGGCCAATTAATTTCTTTCTATTTATCGTAGAGACAGGGTCGCTCTTACTCAGGTTGGATTTGAACTCCTGACCTCGAGCAGTCCACCCACCTCGGCCTCCCAGAGTGCTAGGATTACAGGCGTGAGCTGCCACGCCTGGCCTGTTTGTAAGATTTGATGGAATGTAGATAGCTGTCCAGAGAAGGACGAGACCTATGAAAGTGTTTTACATTCTATTTATTCTTAGATTTTGCTTTGTGCTCTGAAGATTAAGGTGTTAGAACTCAAGATCCCCAGATTTCAAAATCAGTGGGAACGTTAAAAGACAATTGTGAAATGTCTTTTCTGCCTTACCCTAGGCCTCAGACTAAACTTCGTTTCCCTGATGCAGTGTTTACCTGGATCCACTGAAGTATTTCCCATCCAATTAATCTCTGCCCCACATTCAGAAATAAAGGCCCCCAAATGCGCAGTTTGGGTGTTGACAGGTGGCAGAAGAGCCCGTCTGGGATGTGAGACCTGCTCTCTCCACTGCTGCAGGGCCACTGAAATCAGTGTCTTTAACCCTGGGGCGCCTCACTTTACATGACGGATACATAAATGGAGTATGTTTTTCTTTTTCAATGTATTCAGTCTCAGTCGGGTGATAAACATCAAGCGCCAGGTCTTTGCCAGGTAATGTTTTAGGTTCTGGGAAATACAACAGAGAACAAGGTAACTAGGGCAAGCCAGATCCTACTCGCTAATTGCCTGGCATAATTTCAGAGACATTTAAGTCACCAGAGTAGGTAAGAGCAGAAGAGATGATTTGGTTGAACGTTCTCGCTTGGTGGCGGGGAGACTGAGACCGCAGTCTCCCAGCTGACGTGCAGGAGCCAGGCTGGAGCCCCTCCCCTCGCCTGCACCTGCTGCTGTCCGCAGACCAGACCGCCTGCGCAGTTTTTGCCAGATCCATATAGCACCTACTTTGCACTTTTCTTTAAACTGACTCCTTCTGACTTAAATTTACTTTTAAGATTAATTTGCTTCCCTACCATAAATTAAAATTATCCATAAAAATAAAAGGAAACAATGTTATCAGCTAGCAGGGCGCTTTTTCCTGTGGGGCCAGGGGTGAGAGAGGTCTTCAACACCTCCATACTGAGAGCTTCTCTTTGACATAAGCAAGACTGAAAAAGAATTGAAAAGAGGTGAATTTCTTAATATGTATGTTGGTGTTGTCTAGTGCCGGTGCCCCCTGACGCATTATTTAGCATTCTTCCACTGGCTAAAGTCATCTTGCAAACTGCTGGTTGTGTGGGCCATATACTTTGGGAAACCCACATTATACCCCTTAATTGATTTTCTGATTTTTGGTCATTGGTGGTTCCTGGTTCATAAGGCTTCAGTTTTTTTCTGTCTCTAGCCTCCCCTGGGTATGTAGAGTATTCTATAAACAAACAGCAGGGCAAGGGAGCTGCCTTTTTAAAGGAAAGCTGAGGCAAGGCCATTGTGAAATGAAGGACATCGCCCAGATGGGAATAATTGTCTGTTCTTTATCTGTATAGAAAACTCAGAAAGCATTGAAGTTTCTCCAAGGAGGACCTGGGTTTATTTGAGCTTGTCAGGGAATGTGGGCAGGGTTCTCTGTAACATGCCCTGGCACCTTCCCTGAAACTGGCCGTGGCATCATGGCAGGCACGAGCAAAGCACGGAGGGCTATTTTATGATCGCACTTGCACTTCAGGGCTGCTGTCTCCAGAGCCGGGGGCTGTGATATGTATAACAAGTGTTCTAATTCCCAGTCCAAAGGAACATCATGTGATTAGTTTTCTGCCACTTAGGAATCAGAATTCACAGTGGCTCTCAGCAGTTTTGTTTGTTTGTTTTAAGAACCAGTGCCATAGGAAAAAGGTATCATAGAGCAATATTCTTTCATGTCTGTTTTTGAGATTCATCCTTGCCGCTGTCTCTATCAGATTATTCCTTTTTTCTTTCTTTCTTTTTGCTCACAGGGTCTCATTGTGTCACCCGGGCTGGAATATAGTGGTATCAGCCTAGCTCACAGCAACCTCAAACTCCTGGGCTCAAGCAGTCCTCCTGCCTCAGCCTCCCGAGTATTTGGGATTACATGGGCATGCGCCACCATGCCCGGCTAATCTTTCAATTTTTTTGTAGAGACGAGGTCTTGTTCTTGCTTAGGCTGGTCTCAAACTTCTGACCTCAAGTGATCCTCTTGCCTCGGCCTCCTGTAGCAAAGTGCTACAGGCATGAGCCACTGCATCCTGCCCCTGAGCAGTTTTTAAGTCTTCTTGAAGCTGACAGTTCCCATTTTTCATCAACTCATTCATGATCCATGATGTTCAATCAGATTCATAAAAATCCCCTTCACTCTGTGATTAATTTGCTTACCCCTTGATGGTGAAGGCTTTTAGCAGGGTAAATTGTACCCAGCATTAAATAGGTGACTTCTCCAGGGAGGTTTGGAATTACTGAAAGAGAGAAAATGTTAGATCTCTTACAGTGTCATTGGGAATGATTGTCCCTAAAAGAAATTAAACAGGATTGAGCCCATTTTGTAACTTTGCTTTTCATTAATTTCTTTGTACCTTATTTGCATCCTATGCTATACTAGGCACTGAAAAAGAACATACGTGATTGTCCCTACCCTCAAGGAGCTCTGGTTCTGGAAGGAGAAACAGGCCAATGATTTATGGGTGCTGGGAAAATTGCTTACCGTGACTAAGAAACTGAGAGGGCAGTTGATTCAGAAACAAAGGCAGTGCAGCTTTCATCACTGTAGACTCAGGATTGTACCAGATAGAGTGTGTGTATGTGTAACTGAAAAGAACCATTTGACCCACCTATCCATCTCCTACCTATGCATCTATCTCCCCCTACAGAGTGAGAGGGGCTTGTTTGGCCAAACCTCTTAGAGAGATGGGAAGCTCACATCTTCATGGAGAAATTAGGGATGATGAGTGTAGGTACCTAACAGCAAAGAGGTTACAAAGATTGAGGAAGGCTGTTTGAAAAATATTAGACAAGCTAGGGCTTGGTGCAAAGGGTTTGGGTCCAAGTCAGAAACCTGTTTTGTAATCATGACTCTACCAGCGGGGTGACCTTGAGCAAGTTACTTAACTTTGGCTGGCCGTGGTGGCTCACGCCTATAATCCTAGCACTCTGGGAGCCCAAGGCAGGAGGATTGCTTGAGGCCAGGAGTTTGAGACCAGCCTAAGCAAGAGTTAAGTCCCCGTTTTTACAAAAAATGGACAGATTAGCTGGCTGTGGTGGCACATGCCTATAGTCCCAGCCACTTGGGAGGCTGAGGCAGGAGGGTCACTTGAGCCCAGGAGTTTGAGGCTGTAGTGAGCTATGATGACACCCCTGCACTCTAGTGTGAGTGACAGAGTAAGACCCTGTGTCAAAAAAAAATTACTTCTCTGAGCTGCAGTCTCCTCAATCTATAAAGCAGGAGGTGGATCACCCACCTTGCCTGTCCGACAGGATCGGCATCCCAGCCTGCAGGCCAGCTGGGCCTCCAGCTGTTTCCGCAGAGTCTTGCTGGAGCTCGCATGGATCACGTGCTGTTTGTGGCCGTGCTGCCACTGCGACAGCCTGAGCAGTCGGGACCGAGGCTGCGGCCCACAGCGCTAAAGTGAGTGTCATCTGGCCCTTTACAGAAAAGGTTTGCTGACCCTTGTGCTTCATGGTTATGAGGTCATGCTGTGCTGTCATTAATTTGTTTTAAAATTGAATTATGTGTCAGTTAATAGGGTCATATGGGAGAGATCTCTCCAGTTCTCAGGAAACATAAGGAGAGCCATGATTTGTTAGATGTTAATGCTTTTTCTTTGGAGAAATCTATTTTATGTTTGGTGAATCCTGCATGCTGAGCACAGGTGGCTGGGACTCAGGCCACACGGGCATACAGGTCTTGGCAGTTGTTGTTCGTATCAGAGAGGAGGAGGATGGGCCTTGAAATATTTTTCATCTGTGCTAGAATGAACCGTACAGTGAGCTCATCAGACAGGACAGGTGGGGCTTCAGATTCAGCCAGGGTTTCCAGAGCACCTGTTATGTGTCAGGCCCTCGTGCTGTGCGGGGACACCAGCCCCTGCCCTCACGGAGCTCACATGCTGCCCTCAGACATGTCTTTTAAGTCGTTAGGAAGACATCAAAAAGTGACCTGAAAGCGACCTTTTTGGTTTATCCACCGCCCACCAACTTGTTGTTGTGTATTATTTATTTTTGAATAGGTTATACATTTACATGATAAATAACTTAAAAGATTTTAAAATGTGAAATCTGTCTATCCCTGGTACCTAGCTATCTAGTTCTCTACATTAGATGAAACCCCTTACCAGTTTCTTGTATACCCCTCCAATGATGTTCTGTATGTATATAAGCATTCATGTCTATATGTATATTTTTTCATTTATTTCTTTAAGGTTTTCTATCCTCCCTAACTGTTTATTTTTAAAAATTGCACAGCTATAGAAAAGTTGAAAGGATAACACCATATAACCTTCACTTGGATCCCCAGTGGTTACCATTTTACCATATTTGCTTTATTTCTCTCTCCCCCTCCCCACATGAATCCACACATCACTTTTTCTCTTCTGAAGCTTTAAAAGTGAGTAGCAGATACCATTATAGTTTACGCCTAGAAACTTTAGCAGGCATCTCCTAAGAAGGACATTGTCCTACGCACATACATAACCACAATTTCATCATGCCACTCAAGAATTTTGTCACTGATATAGTCCAATTATCTGACACCTAATACCCAGTCCTTACTCAGATTTCTTCATTTGTGCAAGCAATGTTCTTTATAGCTTTGTTTTGTTTGTTTGTTTAAATACAGGGTGTCCTGAAGGATTCCTCATTACATTTAGTTGTCATGTCTGTTTAGTTTTTTAAAACACTTACCTGCTTTGGTTTCCTCTTGATCTTTATCCTCATTCTTGGGCCTTCACTTTTCTTGTCCCCTTAGCTTTTTCACCTTTTAACACAGAGTTTCAATACTATTGCATTCCTGTCCCGGCAGGTGCCAGCCAGCCTTAAAGAGCAGAATGGATCTTGACGTGGTTAACATGTTTGTGATTGCGGGCGGGACACTGGCCATCCCAATCCTGGCATTTGTGGCCTCGTTTCTCCTGTGGCCTTCTGCACTGATAAGAATCTATTACTGGTAAGCTAATTTTGTAGTTGACATTTGCAAGATTAGCATAATCTTGCCATCTTCTCTGTTTGTCCCTTTTGTTGTTATCGTTCAACATTTTATCGTAGAATATTTCAAACATACAGAAAAGTTAAAAGACACTTATCCTCTTTTGAATTTTGAGCATGTTCTTGAGGAATTGGTGGTAGTTTATCACCAGGTAAGTTCTTTCAGGTTCCTGACAGCATCTTCGCCCACCCACACTCCCAAGGTCACTGACTGTCTTCAAGTAAGGGTTGTGCATGTTTGTGGGAACTCCTTCGGGACTTTCTTGGTCATTGGATTCTGACCCTGTGATGTCCTGAGAGGTGCAGTGATGTTACTAAAAAATGAATTAGAAAGAACAGGGCCATTGAGATGGCATATGTAGGACAGAATGCTTTTAGAGTTGTTCTAGAAGTATTCATTAGTAAAGTGGCAAAAAGAAAAAGAAGTTTCCAAAATACATCATTCTTGTACCACTTTTATGATTTGTGCCCTGTCTACGTACCACCTTCCTTTTCTTCTGTGTTTCCTTTAGAGGGAGTCACCTTTTTTAAGACCTTAAATCAATTTATCTAAAATGTGATATAAATACCACAACCTTAAGTGGAAAGCTTGCCATACTTGCCATAAATAGTAAATTAACTTTTAAAAGTAAAAATAAACACAATGGCATTAAACAATCTTACTGAATTCTAGCCTAGATACCGTTGCCTACCAAAGGCTCTAAGTCTGCTTTCTCTTCCTTACAAAGTATAAGAAAGGCCTAGCAGATGTAGCAGCCCTGAGCAGACCTTTTCTCCTTGATGGAATCAGAAAGTTAACAGTTGAACAGCAAGTGACTTTCTCAGGATGTGCTTCACTGACTTTTCATGCCACTGTCCATTTATCAAATAAAACCACCCCTCCTGCTCCCGTGGTATGCTCCCCTGGTGACTAGAATGCTGGAATTGGCCCGGGCGCTCTCGGTGCCGTACACAAGCCCATTGAGATTTAACTGGGACTTCCAGGAGTCAGAACTCACTTCCGCACCCAGAGAGAAGAGTGCAGGGAGGCTGTGGTGCCCTTTATCTGCCCTCCTCTCTAGCTCCGTTTTGTTTCACTAGCATGTGGGATTTTCTGCCAGGCTCCGATCCTTGAAAATAAGCTAATGGAATGCTAGGGAGCTTTTCGCCTTCGCTCCTGCTCTCTGTTGTTGAGTGTGTGTGACCCTTTAGGGTCACCAGGACCCACCCGCCTTCTGCACTGACACAGCCGAGACTGCAGCCACTTACACGCCATTGCCCTTGCGGTGCTGGTGGCAGGGGTTCTTGTCATTTGGGGCCACGGCTCCTGGGTGGCCCTGACATGGAGAGGGCAGAGTTGTGTGCCTTCCTTGTGGGCCTGCTGAGGCATCACGGACCTCCACACACAAATGCCATTGTTATTAACTAAGTCAGATTGAAGCCGCAAATGCAACTCACTGAGACTGCCCGTAACCGTGGCTGCGGCTGCGCGAGGAGGTGGGACTATGCAAAGCTGGTCCCGCCCACATCATGGAGAGCCGGCCGTAACTGGCTGTGGCTGCGCGAGGAGGTGGGACTATGCAAAGCTGGTCCCGCCCACATCATGGAGAGCCGCCTCTGCGCAAGGCCCCCAACCTGCGCTCCTGGGGTTGTCCAGGGGAGACTCTCAGAGTCAGGGTGTTAGAGCAATTTTGATATTTGGCTTTTTAAGAGAAAAATAAGCTCATGGCAAGTAATTCACTTTTTTATTTAGTTAAAATTCACCGTTTTAAATTATACCATTCAGTGGTTTTAATATATTCACAGGGTTGTGCAACTACTATCTGATTTCTGAACATCTTTGTCTCCTCAGAGGAACCCCCCTGGGGTAGCAGTCACTCTCAGTTTCTTCCTCCCTCATGTCTTGGCAGCCTCTAATCAATCTCCTTTCTATCTCTTTGGATTTGCCTGTTATGGACATTTCATATAAATGGAGTCATACAGTATGTAACCTTTGTGTCTGGTTTCTTTCACTCAGTATAATGTTTTCAGGGTTTATCCATGTTTAGCATGTGTCAGTACATCATTTATTGTTATGGTTGAATAACATTCCATTGTGCGGTGGCATCACACTTTGTCTATCTGTTTATCTGTTGATGGACACTTGGGGTGCTTCTGTGTTTTGGCCATTGTGAATAATGCTGCATAGCAGATAATTCACTTTATTAACTAATAGATACCACAAAAAAACCCCAAAAACAGAGAGGCCGCACAGATCAGAGGTTCAGTCCCTCATTAATTGGTGGCGCAGATGCATGTGATCTTAAAGCCCGCCCATGCCTGTCACCCAGCTCTGAGCTGTGGCTGAAAGACAAACACGGTGATCTTTATTTTGTGAACTCAGGCACACTGGCCAAGAATAAAACCCAGCTGGTTGGGGAGGATGAAAATCCTAGAAAACCTTCCAGTTTATGCCAGGTGACACTGTGACATGAGGGAATATGGTCACAGCAATGGAACCCTGGTGCCATTGCAGAGAGCGGTCAGAAAGCCTGTGAGTAGCTTCCTCTGCCCCACGGAAACGCACAGTCTGTCTCCTCCACGTTGCCTTGGTGCCAGTGACATTTACACAGTGGTTGCCACAGGCCGAGCAGCTTCACCACAAGTCATTTATATCCCTTGCCTCAGCCGTTCCTCCAAAGGCTTTCCTTTGCTAGGTTGCCAGTGGGGTCGCCTTGACCCTGGGTGGGCCTGGTTAATTTTCAGGATTGCTGCACAGACAGGAACAGCGGGCAGTAGAGGCAGCCTGGCACGCCCCGCCGCTGCCGTGCTGCGTGGTGAAATTATCATGCGGTGCGTGCTCCTGGAGTTCCCTCTGCGAGCCCTCAGCTCCTCAGGGAGCAGGAGCCGGTGTCCCCAGCAGGCCACAGCCAGTCTTCAGAGCAGCTCTCTTTGTCTCTGGTCTAAGTGTCCCTGAAGCGTGGCCAGCCTGCACCCACAGCGATGTGGGCTGTGATCGCTGCAGGGCTCTCACTGTGTTGGAGCTTCAAGGCTGTTACAGGATGGAAAAGACAGATTTTCTGAGTTTTGTTTTCCCAAAGAAACTCAATTGTGAAATCAAGATAAGAAACATACCAGGCAATTCACTTATATAAATATAAGAGAGAAAAAAGAGGGAGAATTGGAAGAGAAGAAATGAAACTGACATTGTTTGCAGATGACATGACTATCTACATAAAAAGGCTGAAAGAATCTATATATTTATTAGAATTAATAAGTGAATTCAGCAAGATTGCTGAATATAAGATTAGTAAACAAAAGTCAGTTGTATTCCTATATACCAGCAACAAACAAGTAGAAAATTAAAAAATTAAGCTAGGCATGGTGGTGCATGCCTGTTGTTCTAGCTACTTGGGAGGCTAAGGCAGGAGGATCGCTTAAGCCTACGAGTTCAAGTCCAGTGTAGACAAACATTGAAAAAAGAAAAGAAAAAATGTTGGCCAGGCGCAGTGGCTCACGCCTGTAATCCTAGTACTCTGGGAGGCTGAGACGGAAGGATCACTTGAGCTCAGGAGTTCAAGACCAGCCTGAGCAAGAGCAAGACTCCGTCTCTACTAAAAAGATTGAAAGAAATTAGCTGGACAACTAAAAATATATAGAAAAAATTAGCTGGGCATGGTGGTGCATGCCTGTAGTCCCAGCTACTCGAGAGGCTGAGGCAGGAGGATCACCTGAGCCCAGGAGTTTGAGGTTGCTGTAAGCAAGGCTTACGCCACGGCACTCACTCTAGCCCTGACAACAGACTGAGACTCTGTCTCGAAAAAAAAAAAAAAGAAAAAAATGTTAATGATACCATTTACTGTAGTATCAACAAATGGAATACCTAAGATTAAATCAAAAGAGCAATGTGGAGGACATCTACACAGAAAATGACAAAGTGTTCATGAGAGAAATTTTAAAAACTAAATTAGTGGAAGGATAGACTATATTTGCAGTTTGGAAGACTTACTATTGTAGAGATGTTGAATTTCCTAACAGTGATCTATAGATTCAGTATATACCCATTTGAAATCCCAATAGGTTTTTCTTTTGTACATAATTTAATACGCTGATGCTTAAGTTTAGAAGGAAAAGCAAAGCGCCAGTTAAGCAAGACAATCTTGAAGGAGAATAAAGCTGGATTATTTACACTGCCAGGTATCAAGACTAATTATAGGCCAGGTGTGGTGGCTCATGCCTATCATCCTAGCACTTTGGGGACGGGGGAGGATTGCTTGAGACCAGCCTGGGCAATATAGCAAGACCTCACCTACCAAAACTAAAAATATAAAATAAAAACTTAGCTGGGCATGGTGGCACGTGCCTGTAGTCCCAGCTTCTCAGGAGGCTGAAGCAGGAGGATCGCTTGAGCCCAAAAGTTTGAGGTTACAGTGAACTATGATTGTGCCCCTGCACTCTAGCTCAGGTGACAGAGTGAGAGCCTATCTCAAAAAAAAAAAAAAAAAAAGACTATATGAAGTTACAGTTACGGTAAATCAAGTCAGCCTGAAATTAGTGCAGACAAGGACAATTGGACCTGTGGAGCGGGAGAGTCTAGTTATAGAAACTCACAGACATAGTCTCTTGTTTTAAGGCAAAGTCAGCACAGCTCTGCATCGGGGAAAGGGAGCTGGGTTCACCAGATATCCATCTGGAAAAAGCTTCATTTTGACCCCTTTGTTAGGCAGAATTACTAAAATGGCCTCGCAGAGATGTCCCTGGCTAATCCCCAAGACCTGTGGCTGTGATGACATAGCCTTCTCATGATTGTGCTTAGCTGGAGAGGAATCCATGGGGTTTCTAGGTAGGAGAGAGCCCCCAGCTGACAGCCAGCTAGGAAACAGGGACCTCAGTCTTAGAACCACAATGAACTGAATTCTGCCAACAACCTGAATAAGTTTACAAATGGAATCTTTTCCAAAGCCTCCAGATAAGAGCCAGCTGGCTGACACCTTGATTGCAAAC